GGGGGAGCTCTACGGTACCCAGGGTGAAATCCGGGGTACCACATACCTTGAGTATGAAAACGCTATCTAGACCTCGAATTAGCAAGATTTTTGGGCATGATACTATACCCTAACCCTTAATGAGTGAACCCTATGTCCTAATTATCTAAAGGGTAAATACAATTTAATATCCAAACATTTCATTTTAAACAATATAATAGCCAAACCTTTTCGAAAACAATCTAATATCCAAATCGTTAACTTTCCGTTCATTTGACCGTTAGTTGACACTTCAAAAAAGCTTTGTTTAGGGGAAAATGTCACAATACAACTTTATTTTCTTGTTTTGGCATTGCAGATGACTGAATATTTAGATATTCTATACCATCATGGTGGAGTCATAGACTTCTCGGGTTTGGAACTACGATATGTTGGTGGTTTTTCAAAGAAGATATTGATAGATATTGATGAAGTGTCGTACTTCGAACTTTTTTGAAGTGTCAACTAACGGTCAAACAGACAAAAAGTTGACGATCTGGACATTAGATTGTTTTTGAAAAAGTTTGGCTATTATATTGTTTAAAATAAAAGGTTTGGATATTAAATTGTATTTACTCTTATCTAAATCATAAACTATAAACCCTAAGATGGTGCATTGATTTTTTTGCCTATATTTAGACAAATCATAACAGTCGATTATTGTTTCTAATTAAATTGATCTTGGAGTATAAGATTTAGAGAATTAAGACTAGATGTTGATCTTTAAGGGTTAGAGTATAGTATCATGTCCGAAAGATCAGTCAATTCAAGTTCTGGATAGCGTTTTTTTACTCAAGGTATGCGGTACCCCAGATTTCACCCTGGGTACCGTAGAACTCCCCATATATATATATATATATATATATATATATATATATATATATATATATGGTGGCTACTTCGGCGCACTCAGTGCACCCAACTCTAAAAGCGTCCATAATACATTAAATTTTGAACTTTAATTAGTACTCTCAATATAATATGATGATATGACATAGAATCATAACAAATCAATCCATTACCCTAACCCCTTAACCTTCAATTTTGAATCCCAACCCAAAATCCCAAATTGTAAACCTAAAGCCTAACCCTAAATCCCTAAATCCTAAATCCTTCGAATTAAAGTAAATTTTGAATGAATTTTTTTCAAATTCATGTGCTTCTTGTTCATAATATCATAAGCAACAATTGATACCGTTTTGACATGAATCGCATGGTCAGAATGACAATTATGAGGCGGGTGCACTGAGTGCACTCGAAAAAGTGGGTGCACCGAATACGCTAATATGTATGTTTATATGTATATATTCTACGGGAAGAAGAGCTTAAGTATAAGGCTAACTCCAATGGAGCTTCTATAAATGGGGGAGTCTCTATATTTGGAAAAAAGTTGGCTCCAATAGAGTCTCTATAAATGGAGTAGTCTCTATATTTGGGGGAGATCTTCAAAAGGATCCCCAAATTTGGGGTGGAAATGTTGTGTGTAAACCCAAATTAGGTCCATAATTTCCCCCCCAAAAAAAAATCAGTCTAGGAATTTAATATAATTGTATCAAAAAATTTGTAATTAAAAATGATGGCGAACTATAAAAAATTATAATGAACAAATTATATTAAGGCTTCAATAAGTACATTTTTAAGTAAAAGATAAAAGGCAAAATACACCGTATAGCAATAACTTTCACACTTTTGACAAATATAGCCATATCTATTCGAAAACAACAAATAACCAATTCCGTCCATTTTGGTAACGGTGTTAGTAGACGTTATGACTGTACTAACGGCTTGCGCTGAGTTGGCAACTGAGTTACCCCACCTTCCGACGTGGAAATCCGACTTGGAAAAAAAAAAAGATGAAAGTGACCCAGCTGCCCACCACCACTCGCGACTCTTCCATTCTTTCTTATCCCTTCATTTTTCTTTCCTCCTTCACCTCTCTTCCTCCGACCACGAGACTGACGACGACCGATTCCATCCCCTTTTTCCGATCTTCCTCCGATAACCCCCTTCCAGCTTCCGTTCATCGCCCCAATCGTCAATAAATCCTCATCCCAACCCCGAAAACTGTAGCTAAACTCATCCCCGATTTCGCGTCCCTTCCAATGACGAACCACATGCATCCTGACTAATCCAACGGCGGCCACCTTTTCCCGACGCAACCCAAGCATCCTAGCAACGAAGAACGCATCGACGAAGCATAGGTAAGTCTTTTCTCGCCGATTCCCGAAAACCCTAATTTCACATTCTGGTGCGATTGGTGAGTTTTTCAGGGAGAGGTTGGTTCGTGGTCTCGATTATGGGTGGGATGTACTTATAGGCCTCCTTTTCTTGTGTCTTTTTGTAGTTGTGGGTCGCTGTAAAGAAGGAAAACGACATAACTGATTCCAAAAGGGACCACTTCGCATTGACTCTATGTTTTTCGCGAGATTGCCCCTGAATCCGACGGTGAGTGCCTCCAAATCCTGGGTAGAAGAGTCATTGATATATTTCTTTGTCAAAAATCCTAGAATAGAATAATGGTGGAAGGCTCATACGAGGAGCAAGGTGGCGAGAATGATCCAAACCACGTAGGATCAGAGAATGCTAGCTTTGGTAACGTTGCTCGTGAAGATGAAGCTGCATCTGTGGCACGAGATGTGTTCCATATTTACGATTATGACGATGCAGAAACGTCTGATGATGAGTACCATGAGGCTCGGGCCAATTTACGCGCCTATGGAGAAATGAGAAGGAGGAAGGTGAAGGCAAGGAGAGATGGTTGAATCTGCTGCGGATCAGACTGGGGCAACCAATGGTAAAAGAACAAGGACAAGTCATTGCTCTAAGTGTGGTTCGATCTCTCACAATGTTCGAACCTGTCCCCTCAATCATGGTACTGGACTTCATGTAATGTGGCTGTATGAATGTGAATGAGAATGTGAATGAGAATGTGGCTGTGGTTGTGTGATGTGTGATGATGAAATCTTATGTTGTTGTATTCCTTAGGCAATTAGGCTGAATGTTGATGATAGAAGAACTATTCAGTGAGAAATGAGAATTGCAACAGCAGGTGTGGGTGTTTATGTGAACGAGGATACTGGAAACCAATATGTTAGGGTAAGATGTATCCTAATTAACCGTGAGAATTTACAAACACTGTTTTTTTTCCAGGCTGAATGTTAACAATTGATTGTTGCTGGTTCTTTTGACAGCTCAATGGAGCTAGTGGGCGTCCTCAAGGGAACAGTCAGCAAGCTGTTGTGGATGTCCAGGGGAGCCAGCCACCAGTCACTCTACCGTAGATGTGCCAGAGTGTCGATTAAGCTTTTGTCAACCCCATTTTGTCGACTTCCAGTTAGGAGGGCTTGAATTGTACTCATGCTATGTATTGGGGTGCTATGTATTAGGCTGTGTGAGGAACAAATGCTTGACTCAAATTCGGATTATATTTGCAGTGTATGGAACAGATGGTAGTTGGCATATTCGGATTATATATTGTATTGTAGGACCCTATGGTTATGCAAGGAACAAGTTGTTGCTAGTATTTTGCATCTCAACCACTCCTCAGATTTGAACATCTTTCAAGACAGGAAAAACCACCATTGCATTAGACAAGTAGAATTGTTGCATTAGACAAGTAGATTTGTTATCATTAGACAGGAAAGAAAACCATTGCATTAGACAACCATTACATACCAGATCCGTATCCCCACAAAACAAGAAGGAAAGAGGCATTCACAACAAGAAGAATTGTTAACATAATACGAATTATTCGAACATCATCATTCAATCTCCTTCCTTGGGCTAACATAGTCTCACGATCTTTCATCCACACCATCATATCTTGAGTTAGTCTCTTTTTCTCCTTCTTCCTCCTCTCTGCCTTAGACTCAGCGAGGAGCAAACTGTGCTCAAGTTGGCATATTAGGCTCTCCATAGAACCCTTTCGATCCTCCATTTCATCCCCAACCATCTCAACCCACCTAAGAAACCGACAATTTTTCTTCCCTGGATTTTCACTCTCATTCTGCACTATCCAGATGGTTTAGTTAGAAAATCAAACATCAAAGCAAACATCAAATAACTCGAGAATCAATCTATCCTTACCTGCTTCCAATAAGGACATCCGTAAAATTTTCTGCCTGGGTTAGACTCGGTACCCGACGTCTTAATCACGGCGGGAACGTTGTGCTTGCAAAGCACCGTCCCAGACCTGCTGACGTTGGTCGCCGAGGAAGAGCCCTGCTGAGACATCGCTGCAAATCGAGAAAGTGAAGGGGATTTCGGAACGGCAGAGGCGCGAGCAGAAAAAAAGATGAATGAAGTCGACGGCGGTCTCCAGCGGCGGCGTCGCGGTCTCCAGCGGCGGAGGGAGTCGCGGTCTCCAGCGGCGGCGTCGTCTCCATCCTCTGCCAACCCTAAATCGGGGGAATTATAATTTCGGGGACAGGGAAGAAGGAGAAAGGGGAGTAAACATATATAATTTTTTTTTATTATTTACGTGGCATTCCACGTGTACGTTTTGCTGATGTGTCAATGAGGTGTAGGTCGGTTTTCGTCCTCGTCAGCGTTCCATCAAACGATTTAACGGAGTCACAGACGGTGTTAAAGTATCTAACGGTTTTGACTAGATTTGTCACACTGCCCTCCGTTTTTTGGTTATTTGTTGTTTTCGAATAGATATGGCTATATTTATCAAAAGTGTGAAAGTTATGGCTATACAGCTGTATTTTGCCAAGATAAAAATAAAAAAACTAAGATCCCCAAATATGGAGATTGAAGCACTGGAGAAAAGAAAGGAAAATGGGTATCAATCCTCAAATTTGGGGTTTTACATTGGACTTTGCCTAAGACACTAATCCCCCTAGCCAATCAAACAAAAAGACCAAAAACAAAGAATTCGCAAGTCAACAAGCCAGGTATCGCGAGTTGCTGCAGTATTCTTCCTTATTCAATGAATGTTAAGCCACCTACCTGTCAGTGAAGTCCATGTAAAAATGAAATTGATGACAAGCTTAAACACAGCACAATCAATCATCATTAAATTAAAAACCAATGCTGTCAAGTGAAGTGAGAAACCGAAATTTGATCGGTGGGGGACTTGGTTTTGGTCTGGGGTTCAGTTTGATTTTTCAAGCCTCAGGAGAATCAATGAATCATAACATTTTCCTTTCTCTGCGATTTTGGAAATGAAAACTATACAGGTAGCTGTAGAGCACATTACCACCCAGCCAGGAAGGCGGGAAATGGATAGATGAGATAAAGAGTTGACAGAATGAATGCTTCCTCTTTTCAGCTTCTTCTAGCCAGTGGTTCAGTTTTGCATACTGGGCACTTATTCTTATATGCCAGCCACTGCTTGATACACTGTATGTGAAACCCATGCCCGCATTCCAACTTCCCCACCTCATCATCTCCTTCATACTCCTCCTGAAATCCACAAAAACCCAAAATACAAAACTTCATAACCAGCAAGCACCAACATACGATATTATCACAAAGACACATAGATTTTCTTACGCACCTGACAAACGCTGCATTTCTTTTCCAAGATTACTTTTATATTATGCGAAGATAGCTCATTTAGGACCGACAACTTAAACTTCCTGATGCAGTGCGCAATCTCATCTTCTTTCAGTCCCGTACTTACATGCCCTATTTTATCACCTAGCTCCAGCAGTTGCTGTTTCAAGTTGGAACCATGAAATCAAATATATATGAGACCCACTACTAATCACTTTACTCAATTTACAAAGTGATGCATGCACATACGAGAGGCCCAGAAAACAACTTCAATTCGTGCTTGGAGCATCATTCCACAACATACCTCGTATGACATATCATCAATGTCAAGTCTCCAGGCACTAAACCTATCCATCCGCCCTCCCATCACGAAACCATTCTGGAGCATCAAGACCTGCAGTAACATAACCCATTTTGAAGCTTAACAATCTTAGATAATCTAGCGACCTATCCATTGCACAGGCCACAACCTCCTACGTGTTAGCCAATTAAAATAAACAAAATGGCTTCCCTTGCATCCTTACGAAATTCTTAAACTGTAAGATTTTGCTCATCTCGATTTTATTTTGGATAAGCGTGATATAAGTTTACTCTTTTTTTTTTATAGTTTAGGTACTACTTGAGAGATTTAACCGAGGACCTCCTGGTTGAAATCTTGTGGACCAAGCCCTTGTTCAGACCATTAGGACTGCATCCATTTCTTTCCATGAAGTTCTCATGAGCACCATCATATTAACATCTGAAACTTCCTTGCCATAATTAAGAAGAACATACAATCATTAAAAAATTGCTACATAGGGAAGTATAAGTTAATGTGAAACCTGGGGAAACCAAGCATATGCAATACAAAGATGGGAATAACGCGAGTGTGCGACCAAAATTGACAGGAGGACAAACATAGAACTTATTATAGGTTTTCATGGAATGGTTACTGGTGCAGAAACAACAGGAACACTATGAATGACGGTTAGATTGGGGGTTTTCCCCCTTCCTCCAGCTTTAAATGATTGAAGCGGAGAGCTTGTTCCAAAGTTAAATGAGTGAGCGAACAACGTTGCTGAATATCTGTTATAACTTGGATTATGATTCCGCCAAACTCTTTCACATGCAACAAAAAGTTCATAACATAACCCCCTCCCTATTAATTTGGTTTTTTTATTTTTTGGTTAGTCTCCTCCCAATCCATGGTTTTTACTTTCTACCTAACTTCCAAGCATGAATCCACAATCCATCTACTTTGCCAGGACTTAAGAAGAAAGACAATCAAAAGAAAAATAATCATCTGCACAGGTTCTGTGACGAAGTCGGCTGAAATTTTTATATTATCAGGAAGGGGGCTACGGGGAAAGGGCTTTTCGGTTGAAAAGCTCAGTTGTTCTAACAAGTCCAACGAAGCCTTATTACTAAAGTTATCGGTGCAATAACGAGAATGAGATGAGGGATTTAGCTTGATTGTCGAACAACCTATCCAGAGAGGCAAGAAACATTACGTTAAGATTAAGAATGCTCAAGTCAGAAAAGCGAAGAATATGATTCCACGTACCTCAGCAAGTCCATCAGGAGGAGCACGTCGGTAATACCTAGTAGTTCCAAACAATTCTGGTTCTGGCCTCACAGTTGCAAAGGCAGCAGGTTCCGCGTCCCAGAATGAGAAGGCTTCAGGGTCAGCCGGTGCTGCTCGCCTCGACGTTAAACAAGGACGCTGCCAATCCAGGATGGGGTCACTCAACCATAAGCATGCAGATTTATAGCACAAACCAAAGCAAAGATCAGAGAAAGAGAACATAAGGAAAGCGAAAAAGATGTGCGCAGTTACTAGTTCAGTAACCATTATCATCTAACAGTCCGAGAAGACTAGTTAGGAGAATCAACAATCAAGACTTGGGCTCGTTCCAACGCATGAAAAGAAAAGACAAGTAGCATCAAGTGTACTAGGGTACTTTGAACACTCTTCACTCTTACTTAATTGTAATCCAAAAAGAGAAAACGGAGAAGGTACTAATCAAAGCTTACTTACGAACAAAACTCACTCTCCCCTAACGTGCCTGCAGCCCCAGAATTCTTAACAAAAAAGCGCCGTGAAGTATAGGTAATTCTCAAGGTTAAGCGGGGACACCCTCACCCTACTAGTCGATATTTATCCAAGAATGATCAGGCCATGAATAATAATAATTATAATAATACTATGAAAGGAAAGGAAAACCAAACGTACACGCAGGGAACATTTCAAGGAGAGTTACAACAGAACTAGGACTTGTCACGAAGAAAAGAAAACACTTGGTCTTGGTGGGCAAACGGAATCAACCTCTCCTCTACTGTCCATGTCCATGTCCATCTAAAAGAAAGAAGGCCTACTGCCCAAGCAGGAATCCCAATCAATAAGACGAACATTAACTCTGGTCATGCATTCAAGTCCCGAAGGAGCCAAGTAAATACTAGCCCAGCAACTAACTAGCATAAAACCAGAATCCATTTACGCATTAGTACTGTATGGCATAGATGAATTGTAAGAGCAGAAACAAATTCCTGGAGTAATGAAAAGGCATACCTCTCTTTCCCGTTCCCTTTCCCTTTCCCTCTCCCTGGAATTGATGAATTTCTCGACATCAATCCTGCCTCTCGCAGACGGCAAGTTTCTTCTGGTGACAACACAGTCCACGGAATCAACAACAGCATCCCCAGAAAACCCAATTCCAGGGCCACACCAAACATCCTGAATCACCATACAATTGCCCTGAGAATTTAACCCATCACTGCTGCTCCTTTCTTCGCTAACCCCCTGCTGCTCGCTCATCTTCCTCCTCTGCTGCTGCGGCGGGGGAGGAGCGGGAGACGCAACCACAGCTTTTTTCTTCATCTTCTTCTTTACTTTCTTCCCATCCCACTCCGCCGATGACCTTATCACCGCCGGAACAGACACCTGACGGGCAGCCCCAGCAGCGCATCCCAAGCCTCTGAAAGCAGCGGTTCCCTTCTTCTTGACGCCGACACTAGTGTTGTTGTTGGCGATGGTGACGCTGGGTGGTTCAGTTGAGTTGGCGGAGAATGGAGAGATGAAAAGGGAAGAGATGGTGGTGGATTTGGCAGGGCGAGAGAGTTGTGGGTTGGGATCTGTTTCGGCTGCTGCTGCTGGGTCTAGCTGATGGCGATGAAGATAATGGGAATTGAAGTGGTTTCTACTGGACCTTCTGAGCCTGATTTGGTCCCCAATTGTGCTGCTCTCTGGGAAAACAGGCATGATTACTATTCTCTGGCAACGAATCGTTGCTCCAGCCAAAGGGAAACAGAGAGCCCAGAAATGAAGTGAAAAGAAAGGCAATGGAGAGAATATGGATTGATGAGAGAGAGTGAGAGAGAGAGGGGTGAATTTGTGGTTGGTTTCTTTGGTTTGGGTGGGAGACGCCGGAGTTTCTGGTTAGTTTTCCTTTTTTCTTTGTCGCTTCTTTTTGTTTGTTTTACCCTTTTACTCATTTTCTTCTTCCCCATCTTTTTCTCGTGGATACAGAGATAACTTTGTGTTTTTAATCACTTAGCTTATACTCGACCCGTTAATCGGGTTAATTCATTTTATTTTGTTATTTCTTTATGTTAATTAATATATTTATACTTTCAAATGATTTAGATCTTCTATATAGTTTTTAATTATTAGAAAATAATCTTTGTGTTACTTGTTAATTTTATCGTTAGTAATAATTAGTTAATAAGTACTAATTAGTTTATAGGTATTTTGTTGGTCAGATTATCCTACACTGCTGCTGGCTATGTATATTTCAAAATAATATTTTTTTGAAATAATATTTTTGGGGTTAATTGCAAGGATGGTCACTGGGTTTACTAAAATCGTTCATGTTTGGTCACTACAAATATTTAATTCCATTCATGGTCACTAAGATTAGTTCAATAGTTCAAGTTTGGTCACTCTCCGTTAGTCTCCGGTAGTTTTTGCTGACGTGGCAGTCAACTATTATAGTTGACCGTTAAATGAGTGACGTGGCCATTAAAAAAATAATAAAATAATAAAATTTAAATATTTACAATTCCCACCTCATTTTACAACTATTAAAAAATAAAAATAAAAATAAAAGGTGCGACGAGAAATTACACCATGAGGGTTTGGGAACCTGAAACGGACATCGGTGCCGAAGACGCGGCTTCTTGCGCCACGGTTCTGTACATTTTTTTTTCCGAGGAGGCTGTGAGGTAAGAGAACTGCCGGAGGTCGGAGGAGGTTAATTTCTGTCGCTTTTCTTCTAGGTTGAAGAACGATTTCCGCCAAAAATAAAAACTAGAACGAATGAATGAATGAACAAGTCTATTTTTATTAAAAAATAAAAATAATACAATTTCGACCGGCCGAAGTAATCGACCTCGTTGGTGAAACCCGGCCCCCATTGGTCGCTCCCGTAGGACAATCGACCGTAATTCACCAAAATAAACCGGTCACCGAGGTCTCCGGCGGAGTAGGACAGCGGATCGACCTGGCGGATTTCGAGCGAGCCGATTACTGGAGGGTCGGTGGCGATACTGTAGAAGCAGACATCCGCCTCCCCGTCCTTGACGAAGGCGAAGAGATCAGAGTAGGCGCCGTCGCGAGCTAGGGATTCGGGCCAGGGGGCGCGCCAGGAGAAGACCAAAGTGCCTTCCACTGAAGCGTCGAAGCTAGGGGAGTGGGACTTGCCGTCGTAGTTGTCGTAGACGGTAAAGGTGCGGAAGTAGTAGCGGCCGGAAGGGAGAGGGAGAATGTAGCAGTTCTTTTTCCCGGAGGAGAGCGGGAAGTAGCGGAGGGTCTTCTCCTGCGGGTGGCGGAAGTGGAGCGGCTCGGAGACGACGGTGGCGGATCCGCCGGTGTAGTAGCGGTCGGCGAGCCAGGTGGTGTTGCCCGAACTTAATCTATAACGCGGTGGTGAAGGGCATTGCCATTTCAAGAGAAAGGATGTCCTGGGCCAGGTCTACCTACTGTCGCCTTCATTACCGAGTCGACCAACTAGAACTAGTTCGATTTGAGACTTCTTGGTAAGTTTTATTTTTATTTTTTAATAGTTGTAAAATGAGGTGGAAATTGTAAATATTTATATTTTATTATTTTATTATTTTTTAATGGCCACGTCACTCATTTAACGGTCAACTATAATAGTTGACTGCCACGTCAGCAAAAACTAACGGAGACTAACGGAGAGTGACCAAACTTGAACTACTGAACTAATCTTAGTGACCATGAATGGAATTAAATATTTGCAGTGACCAAACATGAACGGTTTTAGTAAACCCAGTGACCATCCTTGCAATTAACCCAATATTTTTGTTTGTCAGATAAATCTTCAAATAATATTTTTTGTAAGATTTAATATTAGTAACTTATTTTTCTATTAATTCGAAAGAAATTAAGACAATTATGAATTATAATAGTAATTAGAACCTTCAAGGAGTTAGCATATTACTTTAACATCATCATATAGTGGGTTTAAAGTTTAAACTCTTCTCATCCCACTTAAAAGATGTCCGCCTATCTCTTTAGTCTCTACTTTAATTTTGAGTTATGAGGTTATAGTAATTAATCTAATTGTTTGAAGATACATTTAATTGCTATACTTTCTTTTTGTTAGGTGATGAAAAATAGTGAGGTCGAAAGGAGAAAGTTAATTTTTATTTTACAAATATATTAAAAACGTTGGCATTTGTGGCATATATAGCTTTTTTTTTTAAGAATGACGAATATTGCCATATTGAATGTTCGTTGGGCAAATACATATTTTGGGTAGCATCGTTACTCACGTTAGATAAGTCATTATAAACATTAACTAGCGTTATTCCCGGCCCTCGGCCGGGTGAGTTTTGTTTGACTATTTAAATAAATTTCATTAAGATTGCGATATTTTATGTATATAATTTTAAATTATTCCGTCACTCATTAATATGAGAATGCAAATTATTATGTGTTGACTAACCCTCTTGTCAAACACACTAAATTATGTCGCACAATTTACCTTACAAATTTCTATATGTGAAAGTCATGCATCTTGAAGTGTTGAACAACAAATTTTTAAGTCATAAATCTGAACTAAAAAGACAACAATTACATTAACCTAAATTATAGTTGCAAATGAGAATCTACATTAAAAGATTGCTGCTAAAATTTGTAGGTCATAGATTTGGAAAACATCTTACTAATTGCTACAATGCAAATGAGAATCAGCATTAGAAGAAGATCTATGCTAATAGTGTATAATAAACATGAAACAATAGCAAAAAGAAGAAAATAGAGATTGCATGCTATCTGTCAATCTCATTGCATTCGCACCTGTTTAATTTTGCAAAACCAATCCTTTATTAAACGAAGGAATAACTTCAAAATAAACAGAAAGGGATCCGGCTAATAGAGCACCCGTACACCAACAGTAGCACCATCGCCGCCGGTGCCACAATCGTAATCTCCATCGTCTAATTCTATTTCCCCCATTGAACTGCAATTCCTTCCTCCTCTGCCTCAGTGAAGTTGTAATATGATCAAGTTGTAATCGACGATTTAGTTGTTGTAGTCAAGATTCACTTTGACCACGACCGATCTTGCTGAAGATCCGCTCCTTATTGTAAGTGTGGGCGTCTCTCAGCATTTTGCATTGGCCTCTCAATAGGACATCTACCCCTATTATTTCGGTGAGAATTTTCTACCCAAACAACGGTTCGCCGGGAACCCTTTTCGGTCAAGGTATCTCCAAATTCTGTTTCTTCGAATCACAATTCTTTTGTTATGTTTCCCTGTCGATGCATCGTCGGGACTCGAGAGTCGGCATATCTATGTAATCCATTGTCGGATTACCGGCTGAATATGAGGAGGCTCTACCGACTGCTACTTTGTCGCTTCATGCCATCCCGTCGTTCCGCATGCCACTAATGTGCCGCCAACGGTCGCGTTTATGATGAAGAATTCAAGCGAAAAGCCAAGATTGCTCTTGCATCTCTATGAAATTGGAGGTTGGATAAGGTGATAATTATTGGAGTTTTCGAAGAAAAAATTAGAAGATGCCAGACGGGGGCACGGGGCAGAGTACAGGTCGTGGTAGAAAAATGGAAAAACTGTTGGGCTGGCCGTAGGGATGGCAATTTCGACCTGACCCGTTTTACCCGATCTGTTTGACCTGTTTTGGGGCGGGGCGGGCATGGGTAGTCTCATCGACCCGACCTGCCCTGACCCGCCCCATTCTCGACCCGTTCTTGTCTAAATTACATGAAATCTTAGTCAAATTACTTTGAATTTTACTTTTATCGCATCATATTTTAGCTATAATAAAGTTGTAAATTAGTGAAAACCTCAATTTCTTCAATAATTTAACTACAATTGTCATAATATTGTTTATTTTTTTAGTTTTATAATAAAAATAACGAATATTTCTAATGTTTTGCAAATAAATTGCATACCCATTGGGTCGACCTGCCCCGACCCACGACCCGTGACCAATTACCCGACCTGGACCCGCCCTGCCACGGTGCGGGTCTGGGTACCAAGAAACCCGCCCCGGACCTGCCCCATTGCCATTCCTAGCTGGCCGGGTCGAAAGGGAAATAGAAACAGGGGCCTTGGTGGACTATTGTGATTTGCGGGAGTATCATTGAGATTTTTAGAAAATGGTAAAACAAACCGTTGCGTTTTGAAAAAGAAAAATGAAGCAGTTGCTTTGAAGTACAAAAGATAAAAAAAAAAAAAAAAATTGTAGCGAAAGTTGCGGGGAGGCATTCTCCTAGAAAGCCTTTATATAATATTTTATAGATAGATAGATAGATAGAAGATAGATAGATGGCAAGTTGAAGAGGATGTAACTTCGGCTCCAACGTCTGCTCCAAATTGACATGCCATTCCACCCATCAGTGACATAAGATTACTAATAGATAGTTATACTTTGTTGGGATAATGGTATACCAGTATAAATACCAGCTTTTACTGAAATTGTCGTTTTCATTAGTCCTTCCAATAAAAATATCTGGCGATGGACTTAGATACATATTTCGATTAATTATTGTTTATATAATTCACATTAAATTTTGTTAAGAATTGTAACTGATCTTATCAAAACTTGTGAAAATAAAACTCAATTATGATTGTTTATTCTTAACCTGTATAAGTTTACATTTCATCTTGATGATACTTTTAAGGTCAGTCTGCAAGCAAAATTATATCGTGCTTCATAACCCTAGTGCAGTATACATCTCTCTCTAGCCGGCCAAACCTGAAAACTACCGCACCTTGACAGTTATTATCTACAGCAAAAGAACAAAACTGAACAAAAATTAAATAGCCAGTGAGAGTCACGATGATGAAATCAAAACATCCACCCGCGCAGACCAAATCCGTGGAAATCGCAGAGAAGAGAAAGTCTATATTCAATGAAAAAAATAGAAAACTAAAGGATTAACCTCCTTACTGTAGATATAGTTATCATCGATTGTAGAGACTTTGCCAATCTTCCGATACTGAAAAGGTAAAACCCAGAAAAAACGACGCTGATAAGGTAACGATAAAAAAAAAAAAAAAAAAGAGAAACAAAACAAGTAAACAACCTAACAGGAAGAGATACCCAAAATGAATCACCATTAAGAGCAAGCATGGGGAATCGAAATCCAAACCAAGAAGCTGATATTCATGAAGGCAAGACGGAACCCAACAAAGCAAATACGAACTAATACACAGTTGATCGCTTACTGCAAGGAACACCATTTTGAAATTACCTTATCCCCTTCGCTTGTCTATATCTTATTCACCTAAGTGAGCAGCTAAACATGAAGAATCTTCTGGCATGGATCTCGAACATGGTTCTAAAATGAACCAAAGAATCACTGAAAAAGAGAGCGTGACCAACATGAGATAGATATTAGAAAAATAAGGAAAATGAACAATGAGAAACAACAGAAGAAAGGAAGAGAAAACAGAGATAAAAGTACACGGGATAGATATAGAGGTTTTCTGCAGTTCAAAATCTTGCTCTCCCATGAAGAGAGAGGTGATCCACTGGGTATGTGTCGTCATTCCAAGTTCCAACATCAAATCCCCCTCAAGGGCTAGCATAATAAATCACAGGTCACCAAATTCAATCCTCCAATAATATATAGTACATTTTTTTGTGTACTTTTTTCCATTTCAAATTTCATACAATGAGAGTGAAAGTAGGAAGGATATTTTTGTCTTTACAATTAATTATTTATCTCACATAAAAAATATCAACATTAGGATTTGAACTCGGTCTCTTCAAACAAAGACAACAATCACAACCATTTACAGTGAACAAATTTCTTGTGTCTTTTTGAATACAAAATATACACGAAGTTCAACTCTCTGAAAATCGCAGGACTTTCCATCATGATTAGCAAGCCCACTAAGTATATCGTATGCATTTTTATGGTGCTTGATACTTCAATTTTCATTGTAGAGTTTCATGTACTTTCTCAATTTTAAAATTATTTATCTCTCTTTAATTTTGTTAAAGGTAAATTGGTAATTGACTAACATGGAAAAAACTAATTTTGTCACTACGTGTTGTGTCCTTGCATTTTTCAATTTAAATTGTGTGGTTTTTATCTTTGTTCTTATCTCTTTCTAACTTCCTCAAAAATTCCCTCCATCGTACAATAGTTTGCACCCCTTTCACTTCCCAGTATAAGGCCTCCTTTGAAAATCAATCATCTGGTATCTTTTGGCACGTTGGTTTTATTGTTGGGTTTTAAGTTGGGCAAGTAAAAGAGTTTAATAAATAATGGAGTTGCAGAAGGAGGATTGGAAATTGAATTTTTGGTTGAAATATATGTGTCTTGAGATAAAAATTTGGTTGTACAACGAAGAGTGGTGGCTATTGGATCGTTATATTTATGGTTTTTACATCTATCACAACCTATTTCTATCTTAAAACGAGGAATCATTGATTGATTTATTGAAGTAGGTCGATTCTTTATTCAACCTACTGGAACTGATAAACCAGGAGTATTTAATTTTGTGCCTTATTACTTTGATTGAGTCTATTAGTATGTTGGAGATAACCCTAATTTTGTCGTTTGCTCTCAAGTTTTGATGGTCCCCTCTTAGCTGAGTTGTTAGTATATAGTTGACTTGAATCAACAACTCTCCATTTCTTTTTGATTAGTGGCATATTGTTCATAAAAGGAGCGCATCAAACCCTTATTTAGGATTGTGAGGTTTAAGATTTAGTTTCAAACTATCTATAGGTCGTGTGGAATTTCACTGAGCTTTTATACTCTATTTCTTGACAATCAACTAATCAATAGCATTTTAATAAGGGTTTAATTATCATTATGAAAATGAAATTATTGATACATTTTTTATTTTTAAATGATATGGTATTTCTCCGAATGTTAGACCTATATATTCTTTCTTTATGTATCATCTCGATCAAAGGATTGTCTATAAAATTAAACCGGTTGATTAGCTTAAACGTAACATAAAAATATAAATAATTAAATATGAATATTCTGGCCAATGGGCCGGGTTATAAGCTAATATATAAAATGGAATTACTTATTAACTACATTCACTACTCCAACTTAACTACAATCAGTATTACACAAAATGGGGGAACATGGGAACAAAAAGAAAGTGAAACTACTGATTCTCCTGGCTTCTATTCAAACTCTTCCTCTTATGTTAGCTGATGTCCCAGATCTACTTGCTTTGTATTGAACGTCCCCTTCCTCTTCTACCAATCTAGCTCGACAAACTAAACCTGCAGAAAGAATTAGTGATAAAGTTAGTCCCCTGGGCAACCCTCCTTCATTTAAGACAACATCAAAGCAAAGTTAATGACTCACTGCAGTTAAAAACAAAAAGAGAACAAAAGCTATGAAGGGTCTGTTGAATGTATATTGGTATGCAATGACTTGGAATCATATAGTGTACTGTGTATAGAACTTGATAGATGCTACAGATATAAAGTGCAAAGTGCATTCTTCTGCATTGGTACACTTGGTATGGTATGCATTGAACATTAAGGTTTGAGCCCATGTCCATGTAGCAAATTCAACTATCTTGACCAGGATGACCCACTCCAAGTACACATAGTAGCATAAATGAATGCAATTATTCATAATCTGAAATTGCAGTTATCTATACATGTATCAGTTTCAGTTATGGTGAATTTGAGCACTTTTCGTATACACTCTACCTTTGTGAAGGTGATAAAATGAAATTTAAAGTCAAAGGACACGCTGGCCGGGATTGATTCATGTGTGGCTTCTTCCTAACTCCAAGACTGGGCATGTAGGCCCCACATGGTGCAACCTGCAAGTTGCGATATCATAAACTGTAGAACCTAGGGAGATTAAACTGGGATAAAAAAAAACTAAATTGCATATGAAAGGGCCCATGAATGGATAGCACCCTGATTCAAATACAATTTGACCAATAAAAAATCAACTATATCCTGGATCCTTCTCTTCATAACAAAGAAGACTGCAAGCTAAAGGCAAGCTACAACCAAATTAAAAGCTCCCATGGGCCAATGAATCGGTCCAAATATATTTAAGTTTCAGTACAGGGCAAGTAAATCAGCTACCACAAACTTAAGTTCCAGTAGACAAACTCCTCCCCAAGTTCCCACTCTGCCATCCTCCTCTCTCCTCCTATGTTCTTATTCTCTATTTATACTCCCAATTCCTCCACTGCCTTCCACATCTCCACTCACTCTTCCATCTCACACAAACAAAACAAACCACAGAGTCCATTGACAAACCCAGATCGGGTGCACAAACAAACATAGCGCATAGAGATAAGAGATTTGAAAGTATAAGGAAATGAGTCATAGTAGGCACATTCGTTCTCAAGTTGTGGGTCAAAGTAAATGGAGGACATAATATACCGAAATTGATCTCAACTAAATAGTAAGTAAAAAACACAGGGAATTCAGTAACCAAGTGGTAACTATATTTTCTGCCGTGAGTAGGATTGTTGTCTAGGGATGTAGTTAAGAACGCTTGAGATGATAGCAATTGCTATTGAATGGGATGGAAAAGAAGTTAGAGAAATAGGGGAAGGAAATAAGAAAAGGAATTGAAGAACAAATAAGAATAACCAATGATTAGTTTGGTAGGTGATATAGAGAGGGAGAAGAAGGAGACAAAGAAGTGTGATTGTGGGATCTAGACTCCGAACCAACTATGAAAAGCACCAATCCAACTATCCAAGAACCTAAAATGAGATAATTGGAAATGAAGCATACGAATCAGAGATGCCGAAACCCTTGAGAATCTGTATTTTGAGGGCCGAGTTGCTAAGCGAAGAGGTATCAGAAAACTGACATCTGAATGGTACGCGGCTAACGAGCATTGGCGTAAAGTAAGATGGAACAAATGAATATGATAGCTACTGGTTCTGGCAATATAGTATGTGGCTGCGTGAGGAGAAGGTTTGGGGAAAATGGAGAACCCAAATTCGGGAAACGATTGTCATGACCTCTAAAAACACAAAGAATAGTTTCATACATGCCAAACACGAAATGGGACTAAGGTGCGAGGTACATCATTGTCAATGAAAGGCTGATTTCCCCAACTGGGTTTATATCCCAATGTATTCCTAAAAAATGGAGCACAATCCCTAACTCCCGCCACTATTCCGTTGCACCCTGCAGGACCTAAACAAAAGATGAAATTGGGAAATGAAACCTTACTTGGAATCTCAACTGCGGAGGGAATACTAGGAGGCGAGGAGGAATATTTGGGATGAGGTTGACGTTAAGGTGACAAGGGGATTATGGATGTGTAGAGATAGATGCGGCCGAGCGTAGAGGCTGATTCGGCCGAGTACCGGTTCTTCGATGGAAGTGGAGGAGGTTGGTGGTGTAGATCTGCTTTGGTGGTGGTGCAGATGCGGGAAGGAAACAAAAAGAGGGAAGGAGGACGGTTGCAGTCGACGGGAGAGGAAAGTCAGCCTCCAAAAATCACTCTAAGAGGAGAGAATTTTGAACGGGATGGCAGTTTTAAGTTTCAGCTATAAATGATACTTATAATCCGGTCCGTTGGCCGGAATAATCATATTTGATTATTTATATTTTTATGTTACATTTAATTCTATTAAATCGTTTAATTTTATTGATAATCTTTTGATCGAGATGATACATACAAAAAAATATATAGGTCGAACATTTGGACAAATATCATCACCATTTAATAATATAAAATATAAAAAATGTATCATTGATCCCATTTTTCATAATGATAATGAATTCTCCGGTAAAATGCTATTGGTTAGTTGATTGTCAAGAAAGATAGAGTATAAAAGCTAACTGAAATTCCCACACGATTTATAAAAAAAAAAATCTCACACAAACCATAGATAGTTTGAAACTAAATCTTAAACCTCGCAACCCTACATAAATGTTCAATGTTCTCCTTTTAGGAACAACATGTCACTAATCACAAAGAAATTGAGAGTTGTTGATTCAAGCCAACTATATACTAACAACTCAACTAAGTGGAGACCATCAAAACTTGAGAGCAAACGCCAATATTAGGGTTACCTCCAATATACTAATACTCGATTAAAGTCATAAGGAACGAAATTATACACTCCTTCTCTATCAGTTCTAGTAGGTTGAATAAAGAATCGACCGACCTACTTCCATAAATCAATCAATGATTCCTCGTTTTAAGATAAAAATAGGTTGCGATAGGTGCAAATATGATAAACCTAAAGATCCAATAACCACCACTCTCTGTTGTACAATCAAAATTTTATTCACTCTATCTTCAATCTCAAGAGGCGTATGTTTCAACCAAAAATTCAATTTCCAATCCTCCTTCTGCCACTCCATTTAGCAACTTTTGGGTTTAGAACTAAGAAAACTACAAACTAAACTAGCAAGGAAAAGTAAATAAAGGAAAATCCTAACTAAGGGAGCTTCACCCAAGAATTGCTTCCCCCTAACTAGCTACCAAGACTTGCTAGATTGAATGAAGTCGTGAGGCGTAGGTGGTTGTGAACCTTGGGGGTGAGCAACTAGTGATCAATCTGCACGACATCAATTCACTAACGATCAATTTGTCACGGGATCGATCCACTCACCAGATCTAGGGGAACCACTAGGAGGAGCAACTAGTGATCCCTTTGTCACGGGATGGATTCACTGGAGGTCGATTTGTCACGGGATCGATCCTCTCACTCACTCAGTAGTGGTTGCCTAGGTCTTTCCTTCAAACAGGAGTTTGAGAGGCTTAATCACAACCAACCTAGATGCAAACTGGTAACCGCGAACCGCAAAGGAAAGCGTATGTGGTCGGAGACTACAGTCTCAATTGCTAAACCAAGGTAAGCATGAAAGGCCGTGTCACTTGACCCTCTCGGTTTAGACAATCGGTAATCGACTTACTCCCTCACTCAACTCTAAGGTCGGACGGATTAATCGCGATTAACCGATTTGCTTAACTCAAGATTGAGGGTTGCCCTAACTTAACCTAGTTTAGGTGGCTTAAAAGCGGAAGGAAAACCAACTCGATTGAGTCTCCCTTGGAAGGGGGATATTCCTCTCTAAGCTAGGCTAAGGTGGCTAATTAGATTGCTAGACCAACATGCAAAATAGTGACTTCGGACTTTTCTTCGGTTTTGGCACTTTTTGACCTCCAAATATCCCAAAACTCGTCCTCGACCCTTCCACACGTGCTAGGACCTGAAATGTATCAAAACAAGCACAACCTAACATCAAATATGTCGAGGAACGATGAAAAACTAAGCTAAACGAATAAGAAATGAGGGGTAAAATGTGTGCATTTGAGCCCGAATCACATACCCGCGCAGGTATTACCCGAGATGACTTGCGCATAGTGCAAAGCGAGTATGGGTATCGAGGTACCTGCCAAAAGTGAGCAATATGACGATTAAGGGAGTAATACACTCCACTTGGTAGTCTAAAACATGACATGACGTGAATTGAAAGAGTCGAAAGTACCAATTTAATAAGAGTTTCCTTTGCCGTCATGTTGGAGGGGTTTATACTTCAGTATAAAGATTTATGGTTAGTTCGATCCTACTAGAACTACTATCCCAACCGTGGCCAAGTGCAACCACAATCGAGTGGAATATAGTGAAAGTGAAGTTTAATTATCAACCCGAGAGACAAATATACTATTACTTTGCAGACTAACTTGTTATCTAGTAAATTAAAGTTTGAATTAACTAATCAACTACAAAACAAAGCAAATTAAGTTTGGTCGAAACTATAGTGAGAAACCTACTCGGGTGTTGTTTCCCTCTAGTTGCAAAATTGACAGACGAATGATGTTCCAAGTTTGTCGACTCATGATTTACATCACGGAGAATCCTATTCCCATTTGGACTCCCTCTCGAGTTATCCAAACTCACCTAAAACAGACTATCTAGAAGGAGAGTTTCCACATCTGCCAAAATAGAACGTCTAGGGTGTGCCAAATAGATTATCATTATTGTACTACGATTCAATACAACATTGTAGCCTGATTTGACGCTCGATCCAGTAACGTAGGCAGCTTCTGCTTCACCAATTTCATTGAAGACTCCACTATAAAGAATAAGGTAAGTGCTCTTATAAACCTAAGGATCTCCTTCATCGCTCTCTCTCTCTCTACCCAGCAAATGCATTTTCACACTCTAGACTCCCTTCCCAAAATATGATTTCAAATCCTTTATATAGTCAGAAAGTGCAAAGTTCACGGTCTCCCATCACGGTCGTAAGATTTGCAGCTAAACCTTGATGTCGACTGAATTATTACCGTATCACTTATCACACTTAAGGGTTTTGGTGTAATTCTCACGGTTTGCAGCCATGAGGTTTTCATGTGACTCGTCTTGGAACTGCACCGCAAATTAATCCCGACTAGAGCTCAAGTTTTTAAACTCTAGCCGGGTGCAATATAGGGCAAGTATGTTTTAATTGTCAAACCCAGGCCGTTCCATGTACCCCTACTTCAATCGCTTAAGTTGTTATCTAAAAAAACGGTTTTGGGTTTAAAACTATGAAAACTACAAATGAAACAAGCAAGTAAAGTAAATCGAGGGGAATTCTATATGAGAGGACCTCACCCGGGTATTGCTCCCCCTACTCTCGTGCTAAGAATCAATGAACGAAACCCTAGTGTCAAGGGTATGTTTATATACCGCGAGGCGGATTGCAGCAATAAGCTAGGAGGACTAGTCTCTTAATCAAACAAACCTAGGAAACTCTAACTCTCTTAGTTGACCAATTAAGGATTGTTGCATTAAGTTAGTAGACTAACTCTCTTAACCTTTCGGCTAAGGATGACAACAATAGGCTAGACGATGTATCCCTCTTAACTAATCAACTAAGGGTTGCAAGACCCAACCCTCAGAAGTTAATCCGGACGGTGAAGAGCGACCAACCATAATGGGAGAATGGTACTACTCCGATACTTAAGGTTTTGGCCCTAGATTAACCCAAAAGGGGTTACCCAAGTTGCTAGGAGATCAAGCTCCCTATGGGCCAAAGGGAGATTTCCACCTTCTAGGTTAATTTGACCCAATAATGAGATAAAGCAAGCAACACCAATCATTCATGATTAATACCTCAAATATTATATAAAACACACAATCAAGACAATACAATCAAGTTTTTACATCCTAACACACATCTAGAATAGGATTCACAATAATACCCAAGTGAGTAGGAAGGCTAATCCATAGCTAGGCAAAGGAAGAAAAAAAAAAAAGGAGAGAAAGAGGCCCTACGGAAGTGTGCAATCTTTACGGCTTCATTGTCATTGTCACGGTTAGGAAACCATGACATCTTCAAGTGCCCGTGTGATGCATATAGCCTTCTGGAACTTGTGTAATTGACTCGCTACCACTACAACTTAATCCCAATTATAGGCCAAGTGCAACCAATTACCCAGTGTAGGATAGGATAAGTATTTCAAATCTCTACCCCCGTGAGCTATATACCCTTACTTAAGCCTTCTACAAATAAACTAGCAATCGAATTGTTCTTAAAGCCAAAGAAATAAAAAAAACAAGCAATTAAAACAATGTTTGAATTCAATCGAGAAAAGCTCACTCGGATGTTATTCCTCCTAGTCCCCTAGTTAGGTTGCCAATGCGATACTCAAGTGCAATAATAAAACATTCATTTATCATTAGGAGATCTAAAATATCTAGGACCCCTTATTCGAGTGCATTCTAGTCCGCTTAATCGAACGAATCGGAGGGGCGTACCACACAGCTGCAAAAGACGATTAAGGTAATTGATTCCACTCCCTCGAGAATTAACCCGGAACGACGAAAAGTCACCAATCACAGT